GATTATCAGCAAAGACACGACAAGCTGATTTTCCTCCACGACAATGCACCATCGCATGTGTCAACATTGGTCCGAAACTACTTGGAGACACTCAACTGGGAGGTGCTACCCCATCCTGCTTATTCACCAGACCTGGCCCCTTCCGACTATCACCTCTTTTCATCGATGGGCCACGCGCTTGCTGAGTGGCACTTCGATTCTTACGAAGACGTCTGAAAATGGCTTGATGACTGGTTTGCCTCGAAAGAGAAGAAATTTTTTTGGCATGGTATCCACACATTGCCTGAGAGATGGAACAAATGTGTCACTAGTGAGGGAAAGTACTTTGAATAAATTTGTTTTTGCTTTCTAAGAAAAAAAACGTGTGTTTTTCTGACTAAAAAACAGCGAATTTAAGCTTATACACCTATGTATATATATTTCTTATAAAAATGTCAGACAGAAATTTATTTACTTAAATTAAAATTTCAAAAACTAAAAAGAGAAGTCTTTAATAAACATGCTAAAATCAAGAAAACACAAAAAACTTGGCAACACCAACTTTTCTTACGAGGCTACTTGGTCATCCTCAAAAATGTCTTAGTATTTAAACACCTTGAACAAACACTAGGTTTCTTCTATAACTGCCTACCCATAATTTAAGCAATCCAAGCATTCATTTTATATTTACTACTCTCTTCAATATATAAAATTCTTGCTCAAATGTCAGGCAAGTGAAATGGCTTTGATACTGGCTTTTGGATAATATTTTTAAGACTTGTCCTTTTATTTTTTGATATTTTAATTTAAAAAAATATAAAGACATGTCTTAAAAACATGTTAATTCCAAATAAATTAAATAGTATATATATACTTTAAAAAATAAAAATTTATAAATTAATTTTAATAGGCATTTTTTTCTTATATGATAAATAAATTAACAGAAGTGAACTTTAAAAAATTCTCAAAGAACAATAAAAAATGTTCATAATGATGAAACAAGTTCCTTTAATTGACAAAGTACACATCTAACAACAGACCTTTTCTTGTAGGCTACTGCTTAACAAAGCTTTTTTGCAAGTTTTATAAGCTTTGTAAATTTTACAATTATATAAATTAATATGGCAGTTCTGATAGAAGTCAACTATAGGAAGAATAAAAGTAACTACAACTCCAGAAGTAGCCTACAAGAAAAAGTCTGCTGTGAGATATATACTTCATCAATTAAAGGAACTTTTTTTCATCATTACAAACATTTTTCATTGTTCTTTAGAAATTTTTAAAATAAAAATAAAGTTTTTTTGTAAGTTTTACTAGATTTATAATTTTTTTACGAAGAAATGAATTTTGTGAATTATAACTAATTATGATAGTTTGATTATTTATTAGTTATAAAGAAAACTGGCATACAACTAATAAAATCTTTTGTAAACCCTATTTTAGATTAATCAATATAAATGTGAACAAAAATTCTTTTATAATAATAAAACAATTTATTTTGTACAATATATTATTAATAAAGTAAACAACTAACTTAAATTATTATTCAAACCAATTAAAAATCTTGAATTTTGTATCAATAAAAAAATGAAAAATTACTTTTTTTAGTTGTATATAACACATTCATAAAACAAAAATGTCATTCAAATCTAATAAATTATTTACATACTGTAAGAAATAAATGTGCCAACAAAAAAAATAAAAATTACCCACTGTTGCATTGTGTATAATTTCCAGCAATACTTACTTTGAGTCCATCTGTATAATCTTTCATAAGCTGCTTCCTGATGAAGTGCCATAGACTCCATTATTTCTAATCTAAAAATATTATTATTATTATTAAATTATTTGAGAATAAATAAAAGCTAAACAGTTTAATTACCCTGCAGTTTGTTGATTGCTTCTTAATAAAATTTTGCAATCATTGTGTAACTTCTTAACTTTACTCAGAACTTTAAAAAAGTCTTCATTTAATCCACCATCTCTTGTTCCTCTAAGAATTAATACTTCTTCTGGTTTCAGTTGGAAAGTATTGAGAAAAGCTTGAACAACTTCCTGTTTCATTTGTATTTTTTGACTGGTAATTGAAATAAAATAAGATTTAATTCATTACTTTATGATGAAAAATGTTTTTAAATTTAAATTATTCTTACCCTTCAGCTTGAAGTTTAGTTGTTTGAGAAATAAGGTCATGTGTATGAGATTTAGTTGTCTAAAAAATAATAAAATAATAATTTTTTCTTTTCCCACTTAATTCAATTAATAATTTCACTTACTTGTAATCTATTTCTCATCTCTGTACAGCATTGATTCATTTCAGTAACACTAGTATATAAATCATCAAGAACCTATAGAAATAAAAAATGCTAAGATAAATTTTCAGTAAAATAATATAACACAGTAGAAATACATATGATGATTTAACCTCTTTAACATTTCTGAAAGATTGTACAAACTCTTCATTTACTATAAGACTTCTTTTTTCAATATCACTTCTCAAATTTCGACGAGCACGTAATGTATTTTCAGGAAAGAATGTTGATAATGCTTTCAATGCTTCCAAAGTTTCCTGAAATTTATAAAATACATTATAATAACTAAAAATTTTAATAACAGTAAGTAATTTATACTACAGGATGATTCTCTCATTAAGAAACCTAAATATTCCTCAGTAACTTTTTATTGTTTAATGATTTCCTATGAAAGTTTACATGCACTTAACTTCTAGAAAAATAAGTTCTTCCTAAAGCAGATGCTGAAAATGGTCTCCCTCCAGCATCCAAGCAATTTTACACACGTTATTGAATGTTTAGGTTTCCTAGCAAGAGAATCACTCTGAATAATTAAAAGCTAATTTTATTGAAATTTAAAAATTATTATTGTATGGTTTTTCAAAATCTGAAAATTTTTATCTTCTTGATTATTGAACTTTTATCTATTTTTATTCTGTGTAAAGTTTTAGTACCATACAAAATAGGTACTCTATTTTTGCTCAGTTCATTTGGATAGAGTTCAAATTTTTAACAATTAAATATCAAATTGAAAAAACAAAACTAAACTTGCATTTGAATCAAAACTTGCTAATTGTTGAAGAGATACATTACGGGTCTTTAAAAGAATAAACAACTTTTGTATAAATGATAACAACAGATATTAATAAACTATAAAATCAACACTTATTCTTGTACTCGTATATTTATCAACATTCATATTAGTGAAATAATTATAAATTTTTATTTATTATTCTTCAATTATATGATATGAAGATTAACAATTATTATAATCAATTTAAGAGATCAAATTGTATTCAAACTTCAAAAAAATAATGAAAAAATGCAATTCTATTGAAGAAAGAAATGGAAGTAAATCAATTAACTTTTATAACATTTGTAGATATAAAAAGATTTTAACAATCATTTGGAACTAAATGTTAGAATTTGTGTATAAAAATTTGGAATGGATTGAATAGAAGGAAAGAAAATATTTATAAAAATCAAAACAACAAAATTAATATAAGAAGCTGCAAGTTGTAACTCTTTATTATTTCATATATTCTGTGTATAGAGAGTCAACACATGTGAACAAAAAATTAACTAAGTAAACAAAACTATGTATATAGATTTTGATATTCCATTATGGTTGCACTGAATATAAGATATATGAAAGACATATTAAAAAAATAATAGCTATCATTTATATGTTATAGAATTTCACATGAAGAGAGAAAGTATAAAAGTCTAATTTTAACAAGCAATTATTTATTGTGACATCACCACAATGCCAAGCTGCAATTTTTAATCATATTTTAAATTTATTTCATTTAAAATATATGCTCTCCATCTCAAATTAGCAGTCTTGCCCCTGTACATCATAATTTTCCTTTAACAATCGAATCATTCCGGTCATCTAACATCTTTCAGGGGAAAATTTTTTAATTGAAATAATACGACTTCTGGTTTACATCAGAAGTTCATATATAGTTAATAGGAGCCTCCTGCCCTGAAGGTTTTCATATGCTGTCATGGATTTCATCTATCTAACTCTGTTCTCAAGATTAAGGAAAGACGAACAGATGGACACGCAGACAACAGTGGGAATTTAGAGGTCTACAATTTTTTCAAATTGCAGCCTAATAATGATATATAAACTATGTATAAACATAATATTAAAAAGAGAAAAAATTATACAAGTAAAATTTTTATATAAGTGAATAGAAAAATTATAGAAACTTGAAAACAACAAGGAAAATATAAAAGAATGAAACTAAATGATCAAAAGATTTTTGAAATGGTAAAATTTCCATTTTACCAGTATGAATGCTGTAATTTTTAAGAAAAATATTTAATTTAAAATTAAAATAAGAGATTATGTTAGAAATAAGAAAAAGATTGATAAAAACAAATATGTCATATCCATTTGATGATATACTCTAAATAATTGGAATGTGGCATTATATGGATATAAGATTTTGACAATAGAGAAACAACATAAAGATTAAAGGTTTTCAAAATATAGTGGTAAAGGAAAATAAATTTGGTCAGATGAACAAATAAATAAGAATGATTTTAACAATAAAAAAAATTATCAAGCAGATCATATTGAAAATAATATAGTGTAATCATTTTTTTTCTTCATTTTTATTCTTCCAGTTTTTTTGCCCTGCAAGCACTAAGAGGGCCCTTTAATCATAGGTTTCATCAGGATTAACATGATAAAAATTGGGTAATTGGATAGTGAGAGATAGATCCCAACACATCCAGGACTGCCTATAAAAATTTCTACGATTTTTTGCCTGCCCGGATTCAATCCGTCTCCGGAGCAGCAGCCGACACCTTTATCACCTTAGCCAACTTACTATTGATGCAACCACGTAAAACTCTACTGTATTTTTTCAAACTCCAAACAAATAAAGTTAGGCCAAGAAACCATTTTTGGATATAATTTTGATAGAATTAGAATTATAAAGTAATAGACAAGTGAATGATCAGGCCATAGAAATATAAGCAGAAGTTACATTAAGTCAATATCTATACATTTATATACTGTATGTAGGTATTGTTTAAAAGTATAACTTGTAGCAAAATATAGTTAAAGAAGAATCATTGTATATCAATGAAACTGAAACTTGGTTACATTTAAGTAATTTGTCTCTATATTTATGTACAAACATAATTTCTAATAAAGAAATTCTTTGACAGACTAAAATTCTAGAAAGTACATTTTATAAACTTTACTCATTTTTATAACGTTATTATTATTTTATGTAATAACAAAATAGAGCTGAAAACAAATTGTTCAACAAATTAATGATTTAAAGTGACTTGAAATATAACCTTGTCATTATCCAATTTATTTTCTAATATTTTGTTCAATTTTCTCGCTAAAGGATTACTTGCTTCTTGCTCTTTTTCCATTATTATTTATATTTTATGCTATAACAATTTTAAAGCCAAAATCCTAAAAGAAAAGAATTATTATCAATTTCATGATCAAGATTGTTCAAATTTTAAAAGCCTTTAAGCCACTGTAGCCACGTTATCTTTACTCTTCTCAATCCTAACATGAGGAGACAACAAAACGCCACCTCTTGGTAACTTTTTGAGAAATAGAAAATCATTTTTATACATAAATACTGTATTCAAACATAAAACTATCAATTATTTGTAGTTTCTGAATAATGTTATAATTAGTTATAAAAAAATAAATATATACTATCCTAATTAATTATAAAAACAAATATTATAAATTAAGATTACTTTAGTAAAATATTTTTATTTTTAACTCTTTCCGTCTGTGGGCACCAAGAGGGTCTTTTTAGCAAGCCTATTACCAGGTCAATACCCTGTGGTCCACATATCCATGGGGTTTTCGGCCGTCCGGATTCGATCCCGGTTCCCCAGAGCGGTAGGATGCCATCTTGACCGCTCGGTCATCCGGCTGTCTAGCCAAACCTATCCAGTACATGTCATGCATGAATAAAATTTTTCAGATTCGTAAGTTAGACTAGAGTCAAAGCATCTCAGTGTAGCAAACTGCGCCTTTGCTGTCTCGGCCATCGGGCCATCAAACCCAAACTATTAGAGAAAACCAATCTGCCGATAAATGCAAATAGCATCTCATCGATGTTTCAAGTAACTTTAGTTTTCGTAAAATATATTAAAGATTTATTTGGATGGATGAATGGAGGAAGTTAATGAGTTATAAAGTGTTCTGCCAAAAAGGAAAGTCAATCCCGGAAAGATTTTCTATGGGAAACTGGCCTCTACTTAAGTGTTAAATACGTGAAAAAACCTGGAAATTTTCATGTAGTCAGCCAGTTGGTAAGGCTCAAACCCACAACTACCAGTGTTCAGTGGTAAATGTGTTCAGAATAAAAACTAATTAGTCAATGACTTTTGTAATTGTATCCTCTTTTATAACCCATACTTCTCTTTTTAACCTTTATGCATCTGGTCACTATACTTTTTCCTAGTTCAATTCTCACTGTATATTCTGGTACTGAGCGATGAATGTTGTATAATTTACAAACGTAAATACATCGAAGATTTTTTTTACTTGTTCAAATTTGAAGTTAAAAATGGTGAGCATATGATGAAAAGCTAAAACGATACAATTATAAATTTTATAGGTAATTTTAAGAATGCCATTTTTTATTTCATGTAAAATAAGAAGAGTATTTGTAATCATTAAAGATTATTTAATGCACTTTGAATGATTTGAAATAGTAATTGTAATTAGGAATTACAAAAAAATAAACAACAAAATATTTGAAATAAAAGACAGTTTTTTTTTTATTATTACAGNAAAAAATAAGAAAAAAAGTGAATTTTTAAGACATTTGCGGGATTTCCCGGGATAAGAAAAATTTCCCGGGATATTTCCCGGGTTAAAAAAACAACCGGGATCCCGGTTGTTTTTTTAACCCGGAATCCCGTTTCAGAAACCCTAATACTATCCTAATTAATTATAAAAACAAATATTATAAATTAAGATTACTTTAGTAAAATATTTTTATTTTTAACTCTCCGTCTGTGGGCACCAAGAGGGTCTTTTTAGCAAGCCTATTACCAGGTCAATACCCTGTGGTCCACATATCCATGGGGTTTTCGGCCGTCCGGATTCGATCCCGGTTCCCCAGAGCGGTAGGATGCCATCTTGACCGCTCGGTCATCTGGCTGTCTAGCCAAACCTATCCAGTACATGTCATGCATGAATAAAATTTTTCAGATTCGTAAGTTAGACTAGAGTCAAAGCATCTCAGTGTAGCAAACTGCGCCTTTGCTGTCTCGGCCATCGGGCCATCAAACCCAAACTATTAGAGAAAACCAATCTGCCGATAAATGCAAATAGCATCTCATCGATGTTTCAAGTAACTTTAGTTTTCGTAAAATATATTAAAGATTTATTTGGATGGATGAATGGAGGAAGTTAATGAGTTATAAAGTGTTCTGCCAAAAAGGAAAGTCAATCCCGGAAAGATTTTCTATGGGAAACTGGCCTCTACTTAAGTGTTAAATACGTGAAAAAACCTGGAAATTTTCATGTAGTCAGCCAGTTGGTAAGGCTCAAACCCACAACTACCAGTGTTCAGTGGTAAATGTGTTCAGAATAAAAACTAATTAGTCAATGACTTTTGTAATTGTATCCTCTTTTATAACCCATACTTCTCTTTTTAACCTTTATGCATCTGGTCACTATACTTTTTCCTAGTTCAATTCTCACTGTATATTCTGGTACTGAGCGATGAATGTTGTATAATTTACAAACGCAAATACATCGAAGATTTTTTTTACTTGTTCAAATTTGAAGTTAAAAATGGTGAGCATATGATGAAAAGCTAAAACGATACAATTATAAATTTTATAGGTAATTTTAAGAATGCCATTTTTTATTTCATGTAAAATAAGAAGAGTATTTGTAATCATTAAAGATTATTTAATGCACTTTGAATGATTTGAAATAGTAATTGTAATTAGGAATTACAAAAAAATAAACAACAAAATATTTGAAATAAAAGACAGTTTTTTTTTTATTATTACAGTAGACTCTCGAAAACGCGGCACTCCGGATAACTCGGCCACACCCTGGCAGGGCAAAAAAATCCTTACTTAATTAATTTTCATTATAGACAGCTTTATGCCTCATAAAGTATTTTTCTGAGGTCTGTCTTATCAGGTAAATTGCTGTACACAGCGTATTCATTAATTTTCATTTTCATGTAATAAAGGCTCTATGCCTTCATAAAGGACGCACTTTTCCTTTGTTTAAGGGTATTTGGGCAGTTTATTCTCTGTTGTATTCTCAAGTAAACAATACATACAAGTACAGTACAGTATTTTCTGAGGAAACACTCATACTTATTTTTTTTTATCCCCATTCCCGATAACCCGGCATTTTCACAAACTCGGCACCCTTCGGTCCACATTAGGCCGAGTTTTCGAGGCTCTACTATACTTTGATTTTTCACAATGTATGGTCGGTTATTTGAATGACGATAATTTTATAAGAGATTATTCTTGACAATTCTATTAGAAATTTGAATGAAAAGAATTTTTTAAGTAACTTTAATAAAATTCAAATAAAAACAGTAAAATAAAATAAGCATTCAATTTAAATTTTATTTATTGTAATAACATATATTTACCTTCTGAATTATATAAATTCAGAGTGTTATTTTTATTAAAATGGAGAGAAAATCGATTGCTGTTCTTATCTGTAGTTGATTGCTATCTTACTGTACTTTGAAAATACTTCCCTTCATTTAAAGAGTGAAAAAGTTGTTTATAAATTGTGTATAAATGAAAAATTGCGTAGATAATTATTTTTCTGTCTAATAATTTTGAGCTTAAAATGTAAATGAAGAAAATGAATAAAACATAAAAGTGAAGAAATTATATGTGTGAGATCATCAATAAGATCTTGGAAACTTATTTTGCATAATCTATGAAAAATGAAGCGGACATTAATGCAAATGATCATATTACATTCATATCATATACAAAATGTATATGATCATAATGATCATATACAAAAGACTCATATTATCATAATATGAGTCTTTTCTGATAATTTTAGGATAAAGTTATGATTCATTTGTCAAATTTATACAGTTATAGACAGATATGTTCGTATCAATTTAGATATAAAATTCTAAATGTTATTCGGGAATCATCAGTGAATAATTAAATATCATTAATATTTTAGATGAATTCGTATTGTCAGAATACTACACTATTTTAGGCTAATTTGCTACCGGCAAAAAAGTTAAAATTGTGTGTGGCGCCAATTGTTATAAAAAGTTTATAAAATAAAATGTCCTATTATTAATTATAAAATGGCAAAAAAGCTTAATTTTAACGGTAGAGATGAGTTTATAATAAAATTGTAAATACTAATAACTAGTAAAATCTTTATCAAGTCCTAACTCATTTGAGATAGAGCGGGTCACTTGTCATATCTTCTCATCCCTTTGACCTTTAACTAACAAAATTTAATAGCACAAACGCCACATTTATAGAAATAATCCTGCCAAGATTCAAAATTTTTGGTTCATTTAATCCTGAGATATAATGCAAACAGAAGCGCACACAAACAAGTTCAAAGTTTGAACCGATCACCATGCTTTTCCTGTGTTAAACTCTAAAAGATTTGATAAAGTAATATTAGAATTTCTGACTGAATGGAAATCGAATAAAAAAATAATAAAATTTATTTTCTTTAGAAGTACTTTATATTTTATTGAGTAGTAATGAATTACAAAAAATCTTCATTATCAGGCAAATATCATTAGGAGAATTATTGGCAATATTAAAACTTTCCAAAAATTCTCAAAACATAAAAATAATTCCAAAACCTTACAATTTTTTACTTCCCTTTTGCAGGGGCACGTCCTCCACTCAAAATCTACGAAAAGTGATCTATCATTTACCACGATTTAGTCGAAATCACTCTCACAATGTTATAAACATTAAACTGACAATTTGTGAAATGACGTCTTTTTGTATTTCATAAAATCATATATTCACATAAATATGGATAAAATATCGCCTATTTTTTCTTTGTTTTCGAGTGCTTTTAATGTGAAATAGATCATTAAACGTAAAAACACAATGTTGAAATAAAAATAATAATGAATCGTTAAAAATATAATTGAAAAATGTTGTAACTCGTACATCATTATTTTAATTTTTAACATACAATTTTTTGCTTTATCTATCTATATATTATATAGAAAACAAAATTTTATAGATAAATTGATCTACCAAAGAGATAATTTATTGATAAGAAATTTAAATGATGACACAATGACACATCCTGAATTACTTTAATAAATTACTCATTTTGTCACACAAAACTGTTGTATAAACACAACTGTATATGCAAATAAAATATTAAATACCTCCATCTTAATTAAAATAATTTTTCAGATTATAAAGATTTATTCTATCAAAAGTATTGTCAATCGCAGATATTTTATTAGCACAAAATTCAAGTAATTTTTTTTTTCTTATTTTTTTAAACGAACAGAATGTAACGTGTCGGAAAAGCAATATACCAGGAAGAGGATA